TCGACACCGATTCGACATTGATGTTCTCGAAACGCAGATTGCTAACTTTTCCCACAGCTCCATTGTAGAGTTTCCATTCCACCAGTCTCGACATTCTCCCTCGATTCTGATGTCCTTCAGAATGATGTCATGGACTTCAAACTCATGGCCGGACACCGTGAAGACGGCGGCATTAGGCTGAAGGTGACAGTTATCTCCCTTTGTAAGCACACCAGTCCATGTGTATGATGTCTACGTCGGAGACACGGATACCATGGACTTTCCTGGCCGTCCACCAACCCATCTGGAAGATAGCACCGAACTGCATCTGCCACACCACTGTTCGTCTGATGGTCAAGCCCGTATGGAACAGCTGCAATGGATGATGCTCTGGTAATACCGTGTAACTCATCTCAAATCTAAAATAGACAAAATTGTTAACACTGCAAGTAAAATCGCTGGAGTCAGATTTGAATGTTTATCATCAATATATGAGCGGCAAATCGTGAATCAAGCTGTCAAAATCATATCTGACCGTACTCACTACTTAAATTCGAATACAACCTTCTCCCTTCAGGCCGCCGCTACAAAGTTCCAATTGTGAAAACTAAGAGAGCCCGTACATCCTTTATTCCAAGTACCATATCTCTCTTAAACCAATGTGAAGATGCCTAATCAAAGAATTTATGTAAATATGTTTGGTATCTCTAATGTGACAGTAGCTCTGGTGATGTAACACAAATTCCTGAAAAGGCATTAAAGTATTATTATATTCTATTCTATTCTATTCTATTCTATTCTATTCTACATTGTTATGAAATACATTGGTATCAACAATACTGCTTAACAATTTAGATAATCATGGTTCATTACCTTCAATGATTCCGATCATTTAGTGACATATGGTTTATCTGTAACTTGTGCTGTAACTTATACACATACCTTGATTGAGTCATCATTCGCCATAACGAAACTGTCCTCCACTAAACCGTCCTCGCCAACGTCAAATCCGTCAGAGTTGATGGTCCAGCCTGCTACAAATTTGACGTTTCTGACAACGTTGCTGTTTCCATAGTAGTAGTTTCCATGTAGTAATATTCTTCAGGGTCAACAACAGTGATGCCTTCCAGTGTGTGATGATCACCTTTTTCATATTAACCAGAGCCCATTGGAAGTCTGGATCGTGAAACTTGTACATTGCGCCTGATAGGACTCCTCTCCCGTGTATTTTACTCCCTGGTTTCCCGTTGTCCTGAAACCACCTTGGACATAAGCTCCAGGTGCCAGATAGACTTCCTTGATGTGCCCATCCAGAACCTTCTGGCCATGGAGGTTGTGCACGCCTACATCGTAGTACAGAAACCGACGGGTCATGCCTGGATGGGATGGATGTTTCTGGTGGGTCAGCGAAAACCAACAGTTTGTCCTTTATGTCGGCCTTGTTGCTTCCATAGTCGTAGTCAAACTCCACAGACATTAACTTCGTGTTTGCTGTTACAGTGAACAGGGCAACCTTAGTTCCCGATCGGTGACACTTGAAGCCATAACTCTTTGGTCGAATGAGACAGTTGCGGAAGTCCTTGTGGGTGTGCACTTCAACAGCGACAGCGGCTCCAGAAAAGGAAAACGACGTCCACGACACAGATCGTCCTGGCTGGACCTTCAGTAACTTCCCGAATACTGGACCCTGCTGTCGGAAGTGGAGATGTACGTGAAGCTCCGTTCTTTGGCACCACCTTGACTGACGTAAATGTTGAACTTGTCAGACGCCTTCTGTCCTTGTGGATTGGGATAGACTGTCAGGTCGCAGGCCACAAGGGGAACGCTGATTGCTAACGTGAAGAAAAGCACTGCCATTGTGGTGATTGTCGGCCCAGCACTAGATGTAAGTATTCTAGTTTATACAGCCTACTGACCTCTTTGACTATATATCAGATAACCCATGTTTGTTCCAATTGTTATGGCAAACAAATGGCAATGTTATATATATTCGTTTACTGGAAATTCGATAGGGTCGTTTGCTTCAATCATAATTACTGTTTTCATCTTAAAGACAAAATATAGATATTTTTCACTTCAGTCTAATTATGCTATCGGACATGTTTTCTAAACAAATGAGTAAATATAGAACGTCAGCTACAGAGAATGTTTCTAAACAAATAAATATAGAAATCGTCAAATATAGAACATCCCGTATCGTTGATCCGCCTAAACAACATACATGTAGTCGCAGAAACTCAGGATAACAGGAGTCATTGAACTAAACCCTGGAGACAATGAGGCTGTAGACAGAGTTGTTCTGGACGTTCCAAGGGATGTTCACGGTTTTAAAACGGTCGCAGATATAGACAGTTGTCACAGCATTGGGAAGAAGTCACCAGGCCAAGCCCAAAGCAGGGTGGTTGAGTTTGTCAGCTACAGGGACAAGAACAAGGTCATGCGAAACAAACGAGAGCTAGGCACTGTTCATTTATTTATTCTCATATTTCCTCCCACAGAACTATTCAAAGCTGATGATGTAAACCGGAAAATATTAAAGGTACGCTTGAATTACCCTGTATATCTTTATTTGTTTCTCTCAGTATACATGTATATACAAGGATTCAGTATTTAAGAAACATATAGAACTAGAAAATATCTATGACGACACCTTTTGTATAACGGTATTTCTTCCTAAAACATCTCTATTTATATGTTCAGCCTAGAGAAAGTAGTCAAGTAAATTGTTGGAGTAGATTTGACAACAGTATTGAATCGGCTTTAGATATTTCTTGTTAGCAATTGTTGATGATTTAAAATGAAAATTGACTTTCTCAACTCTTCATGTAACCGATATCATGGCTGGAAAGACTCGGCGTAACGTCGTAAAAGAACCCACCAGAGTCACACAAACTGCAAGTACACTTTAGATCCAGGTATAAGTTAGTGAGGATATACATGTCAGAAAGTGGTGTGATAGAATTGATAAAACAATAAGCGATCATAAGTGGACATATTATTTATATAGATGTAGACATGTCAATGTCGACTATGAAAGGCAAGTCTTGTGATGGTATTTAAAACAAGCTGAACGCACCTATAGGAAGTACAGGTTAGTTTTCCTTGTTTCACGAGTTGTAATAATGTGGATGAATCATGTGATGCGTTTACGACCGCTTCGATGAGTAGATAAATGTAGAGTCTATGTGCCATCTAAAAATGTGTCTGTGAGAGTGAGTGAGTGAGTGAGTTTAGTTTTACGCAATATTCCAGCTATATGGCGGCGGTCTGTAAATAATCCAGCCTGGACCAGAAAATCCAGTGATCAACAGCATAAGCATCGATCTGCGCAATCAGGAACCGATGACATGTGTCAACTAAGTCAGCGAGCCTGACCAATTCGATCCCGTTAGTCGCCTCTTACGACAAGCATGGGGTGTCTGTAAGACTTAAGGACAAACTATGTAATGGTATAACTGCAACATCAGACGCGAATGTAGGAAAAGGGCCAAAGTATCAAAGAAAGAAATCGATTTTACTTACAAATAGAAAACAGCGTGACAACGTTAGTTACAAGACAAGTTTTCAAACCTTGATGAATATATTTTTAACTTTATGCTGTTATAAAATCTTTATATTGGAAATTGGTTCGCAATATCGTAAATGATTATGGCACGCCGAACAGATTTTATACTCTTAAACGGGTTGGAAACTGCTTTCAGAACGCAGGACGAAATGTAAGCTGTGTTTATTTGATATCATGATATCGCTTCTTCATTTCGAAAGATTTATATTATCTGACACGGTATAACTTTACGCAACTCGAGTAATCTCTTTAACCATCTACAACATTAAGGCATTCAATTGATTCTTTTTTCCTTCAACAATTAAATTGTGGAACAGTCTACCATTAGATGTGGGGAAACTTGAATCTGCTTCAGCATTTAAGGCTCAAATACGATTGATTAAAAACTCTGTGCCTCTTTACTTTTCCTATGGTATTAGAAAATTACAACTGGTCCGGTATGTCAGTATGAGAATGATGAACATTTATCTTTCATAATTTCCACTGTAATTCCACAGAGAGATGCTGTGTTTGCTGGTTTAAATAATATTTTACATAATAGAATACCCTTGCCCCGATGTCATTTAACATAGCAATGCAGGTCCCTCCATCAGTGAGAATCAGAATATGTTCAAATCAGGGGTCGATTTAAGGAAATGAAGTCTACTTGTACCCAGTGCAACCTAAGGAAATCACCTTGTTGCACCAAACAAAACCAGGTTGCACCTAACTGCTTAATAGTCATAAAATCTTATATAATGCTTGAGTTTTGGTAAAGCCGCTTTAGAACAGTATTATAACAATAGGAATATGTAGTTATCTTACTTCCCAAACTTTCATGAACAGCAAGTCCTTCAGTCACTGTCCTACAATAATCAGAGTCACTGTTCCAAGTCAGTTCCTCATCATTCTGTTTTCCACCTGAAGTCTCTGTGTTCTTTGAACATTAAAATATTAACATGCACTGGGGCGCATGTTGATATACATAAGAGGTTGCATTTAGTAGTTTCAGGTCGCGCCAGTGCAAGTTCTAAATGCTTAAATCGAGCCCTGTTTCAAATGTATCCATATGTATGTAAACGACAACAAACTAAACGATTTCTCAGATTGTAATTTCATAGCAAAGTATTACTTTTATTCTTAATTCTGTCTGCTTTTTTTCCATTTTCACACATTCTGTTTATCTATAATGAAAATATACGTAATACTATGTAACTGCTCTGAAAGGAAAAGCTTTTCTAAGTTGGACAACTTGTGTCCAATAGTTTTGTTTCATGAATAGGATATGTTTAAACCGAAACAATAAATTCCACATACGATGCAGTCGTGACATATGTTTTAGAAATAGATACATTTCCAATTATCCAACACATATTGCATAATACTTGATATTCGGGGTTTTATCTCTATAGAATGTAGACACTTATCTTAGTGGCACAAGGTTATGGTTGTTTCTGATTAGACGGGATGGTCACGCGCGTCACCAACTACATATGTAAGTTTTGTTGTCAAAGTCGGCAGTTCCCGCCACAGCATGGTCGGTCTCTGTGTTCTGGTCGTTCTCGTCACCCTCGCCTACGAGGCAGTTGGAAACGTCATTGTGTACCCACATGCCAAGGGTCCGGCGGCTTCCAACAAATTCAAGGTGTATGTGAGTCAAGGCGGAAGGAAACATGAGAGTTTCACGTACATCAGCACATCCGACCAACGTTCCCACGAAGCATCCCATGTCCACCCAGGACGGTCGATGTCCTTCACGTCATTTGCCTTCGCTGGTGGTTCTGTGACGGTGGAAGTTCACACCCAGCGCGACTTCCACAACTGCATCGTCAGACCCAAGAGTTACAACTACCACTGCCGCAGAACGGGAACCAAGGTCGCCCAATTCACCGTGTCAAACACCAAAAAGTGGATGTCCGTAGAATTTGACTACGATTACGGCAGCAGTAACGGAGGCCCCGACATAACTGACAGACTACTTGTGTTCGCAGATCCACCCGAGACACACAAACCAAACAAGAACGACAACTCTGTTCTGTATTATGACGTAGGGCTTCACAACCTGAACGGTCAGAAACAACTGGATTCCCACGTAAAAGAAGTATACTTAGCACCAGGAGCATATGTTCAGGGTGGATTCAAGACCACTGGGAACCAGCCAGTGAAGATCTATGGCAGAGGAATAGTCTCTACTTCTATATACAAGTGGCACGATTCAAGGTTTGAATGGTCAATAATCAACATGGACAAGGGACATTCTCACGTAGTTGAGGGGATCATTATGGTGGATCCTGAGGAATACTTCTACCGTGGACTGAGCGATCACAATACGGTGCGTTATGTGAAGATGGTTGGATCGTGGGCCTTCAACTCCGATGGTGTTGGTATTGGACATGATGGACTGGTGGAGGACTGCTTCATCTGTGCAAACGATGATGCACTGAAGGTTTGGGATTTCTGTTATTCAGACATTTGTTTAATGTTAGGGTTGAACGGTGAATTGTACATGACTCAAATTGTGTCCTAGTATCAAAATAAAATGACGTACAAAAGAAAGTACACACCTGGTGCTTTTGGATTACTTTCTAAAGAGCGACGTAAATGTTTTGAAAAGAGTTTTTACACTTATATATGTCATAGACTTTCCTAATATGTTGCCAAAACACCACAGATATTATGCCCAATTGCGAAGTTGCCAGTCAAAATCACAACACTTTTCAACCAATCCGAAAACACCAGGTGAGTACTTTCTTTTGTACGTCAGTATAGAAAGATCTTATGAACACGCGCTGTGAATATACAATGCCATTTAGAAAGTGGTCAAATGTAATACGTTATATTTGGGATTTAAACTTTCTCAGTAAAAGTATAGCTTCTAGTACTTTTGTTAGGTTCAGTCCCATCCGGGATTAGAACCCACACTCTCAGAGTCAGGCACGTAATTATGGAATCCTGGAAGGGACATTGTCGCGTTGTCGCATTGTCGCGTTGTCGCCCTCTCAAATACAAGCAAAATTAACCAAAACGCGACACGCGACAACGCGACATTTCGCCCATTTGTCGCATTGTCGCGTTTTGAATAATATTATTTTTTATTCCTCCAAAGGGCGACACGCGACATAGCGACAATTTTCAAGGTCAAAATATGTCGCGTTGTCGCGCGTCGCGTTTTAGTGAATTTTTAGGCTTCTTTCACACATCTTAGATAGGGCGACAACAACGCGACATATTTTGACCTTGAAAATTGTCGCTATGTTGCCCTTTGGAGGAATAGAAAAGTATTATTCAAAACGCGACACGCGACATCGCGACAATGCGACAAATGGGCGAAATGTCGCGTTGTCGCGATGTCGCGTGTCGCGTTTTGGTTTATTTTGCCTCACTTTACTTGTTTTTGAGAGGGCGACAATGCGACATAGCGACAATGTCCCTTCTCGGATTCCATACGTAATCACCATCACACAAAGTCAGCCAACTCAGCCACCACGGCTCCCACCAAAAAAAAGTCGGACAACTGGTAATCTTGATCACGAACTTTGTCTACCCGTCTGACAAGTGTAAAGTTACACGGTTCCTACACACAAGCATGAATACGCAATGCCATTTAGAAATATACGTTATTCAGGTATTTAGACACAGATAGATGGTAGAGAACTGTGAGGAACGTTTACACAACAGTAAATAACTCGTCCCTAACAATGACTGGTTAAGTCTCCTTTGTAGTATGGATGAGCAAGGTTTTACGTGGAACACTACTGACGGATGAATAGGGTTCAGGGAACAGCTCCCAGACATGATGAGATGATTCCAAGGAAAAGCACTGTCCGGATGAACAGCCTTCGATGCATTCTTTCAATTACAGCCTATAAACACATGTAATATAGAACACTGTAAATGTTACTTCCCATTTGAGTAATGTATAAACAAAACTGGAACGTGTTTGTTATGTTTAGGTATACACGGACAATATGGTGGCGCAGAGGGTGGTCATCTGGCAGATGCAGAACGGAGCTGTCTTCCAGAACGGCTGGTGGAGCGGCAGAGACATGAAGAAGGTCAGAATCAGCGACATCGACGTCATTCACACCGACTGGTGCACTTTCAAAGGTTCCAACTGCCAGATCAGCGACAACGATGCAGTTTTTGACCTCGCTGGTGACACAAAGCATTTTGCCATGAGTGATGTCGTCTTTACCAACATTAGAGTAGAAGGGTCCTGTCCACGTATCGTGTACTGGAAGATGGCAAACGGGGCATCGGGTACGGCTTCCAACGTCCGCATCGTCAACTTGTCAGTGGAGTCGCAACCTGGCCACGACAGCCTCCACAACGAGATTGCAGGGAATTCTGGAGGAAGGGTCACCAACTGGCAGTTTAACAACTTTAAGATTGGCGGTAAATGCATCTCCAACCCAGGCCAGGCAGACTTTCACATCGATGCCCACACCACCAGCAATATCCAGTTTCATTGTGGAGGATCTATTATAGGATAAATCTCAGAAACGATGCTTATCAGAAACGATGGTTTCAATGCATATTGTTACATTAAAGACCTTATTAAAGCTTGTAAAAAGTGTTAAGTTCGATGATATCTCCAAAATGACGCATCAGTGAAAACTATAATGTCGGATGCAGGTCTCTATCCATACCTCGATCAAATGTTCCAGAGGTGTTTCGTACTGTTGCAACCCGTGGGGCAGGATGCACTACTCACTCTTTTGCAAATACTTAACACACTATTTGATAGTGATTCATAGACACATGTATCAAACAATTCTGTCTGGCGTCCAAAATCACACGCATAACTCAGAACTGTTAAGCTCTAGAAGGCACACTGTTAGCAGAACATATATAATTAAAGTGGTGCACTCTAAACAGGACATATCTTCAAGCAAGTTTTCAATTTTGGAAATTACTTCTGCGTATATTCGAGATGTGCAGCGAGTGAGAGGAGTTTTCACGCAGCTTTTGAATAACACTTTTGTTTTTTGTCAGCTCAATGAAAACCCGAAGTGATTCAGGTCTCACAGCTTTGGTGAAACCATACGCAATGATGTGGTTCAAGATATCTGTACCCGTACTCTCGTGTGAGAGGGGTCGAGGTTGATCGTGGATTGTCCAGGAAAACAGTTCCATATCAAGTAATTCAGATATGTTTTGTTAGTTTTTTACATCTGAGTCGGCTTGTTCTCTCTTTATGTTTCTTTATCTGACTTGGTGTATCTTTGGTCTGACATAACCCCGTAGTTAGAATTTTCAGGAACCCATGCTTGTCTTAAAAAAAGAGACTAACGGGATCGGGTGGTCAGGCTGACATTAAGCATGGCGTGTTGTCCCAGTTGCCAAGATCGATGCTCATGGTGTCAACCACTGGTTTGTCTGGTCCAGACTCGATTATTTACCGACTGCTGTCATTGCTGAGTACGGTGTTAAAACAACTTGGCCCGACATTCATTGATTAGGAAAATCCTTTTTCTTATCGACGCAAGTTTATTGTCGGCGTAGGGCAGGAAAACAAATCAAATCACCCTACAACATTTGACGAATAATTCATTTAACACATATGTGTCTCAGATAGCATATATTTTATAGGTTGCATTCATTGTGTAAAATATCTTCATATTATTATTACACAAACACACTATACAGTCAGAAACATTCACAAAGTGTAGCAGAAGGAACGAAAACAGAATAAGCCATATTTACCGAGACAAAAACCTTGACAATATTGTTATTTGTAAATAGAAATATGAATTGTTATAGTAGACAGGTTTCGGGTATCATAATATTAATCCCCAAGTATCGACTCAAGAAATAACTCACCACAGCACGTTTAAGTCAATTCAAACATCATGCACCCCACAATACTGCTAGAACTACCTTAGCGATGTAAATATTCAATAAAGAGACACCATTGAGATGTACAACCAAATCCTGACAGGTTCAACCATATTTTTGGAGTGTAGCTGTTTATACTTTTTATTTGCATAGCCATATTAGGGACCGCTCATAATTTATGGCTGGGGTGGGGTCACCCATTTTAATTTTATTCTAGGGAGGTAGAGGAGTCAGCAATTTGGTACATAACTATATTGTCATTGATATTGTACATGACATGCAGGGGGGGTATCACTTACCTTGTACATAAATATTAAGGGGTGTACATGCTTCTCCATAAAAATCATCACCCACACCACCACCACCAGCCCCCACTCCCCATCCCACATTATTAACGGTCCCTACATACATAAAACACCATCATCTGTTAACACTGAGCCCTGACATGCCTCTAGATTCAATGAGGCCCTAAACGTCTACTTTTAAACACACTACGTTATATCAGGGAGACTATATAAGGGTTGTATAGTATCCCTGGTTATATACTTGTTATAGAAGTACAACCATGCCAGTATTTGGGGAATGTACATGTGGTTATTGAAAATAATGGGATTCTTCTCATGTGACTGGACCCGTGGTTAGATCGGGATCGGTCAACAGCTACTTTGATTATAATGCTTGTTGACAACAAAATATGTCAGGATGCCTGCGTGTCTTCATACGTCGAACTGGTGGAATGTCGTTTATTCAATGGTTTCTCTGGTCCAGACTTGAATATTCAAACGCGTCTATCAACCATGTGCCAGTAGCTGGTAGTGCGCGCCAAACATCAAACAAGCTAATATGGTCATGTGAATCTTTCAATCAACTATTACATGTAAATGTGCTAAATATACGCATTGGTAAAATAAGTCTGTCCGGAGCCAGTTCGGCTTGGAAACTTCCACACCTTATAACAACAACATTTCTGGTTGACTGCACACACTTTAGCATACTGATTACCTCAGTCTGTAATGGTTCAATCCATTAATTAGTAATGAATACAGAGAAGAGTCTGGCGTAGAAGAACACACCTGTGAAAGGGCCGTTACGGTGGTAAAGATGCAAGAAATCAGAGTTACGCCCCTTGGATTAGCTGCATTCAAAATGGCTGCCTTTTCAAGGGCAGGACTGAATGTCGGTCGGCAAATACTATGTCGGACACTTTCAACCACACCAAAAGCCCTGGGATCTCAGTCGCATGTGGATGAGAAAACACACACAGGACAGGTATACTCAACACGGTCGGATGTCAGGTGCTATAAGAATGCACGCGCTCAAATGACACCGAGTCACGATAATCATCAAGTTGATCAACTTGTTTCCAGAATGTGACTTTTCAGTTATTCATTCTGATTTTAGTTTATAACTATTTAGGCTTACATTATGTTTATGTTTGCTTCATTGAGACATGCTGAGTTTGAAGCCCATTGCTTCAACACAGGAATATATGCTAAACAAAGGCAGTAAACATGGCTGAAGCCTAGTGAATGGGTCGTTGTCGGCACAGGTTCTACAGATGTGTACCGCAGGTACGTTTTTGTATACAGAGATGTATCATAAACAGTAGGGAGGGGGTCACCCATTCGCGTGACTGCCTGACCACAGACTTCGGGAGTACTGCACTTTACCGGGCGCACTTTTTCAGATTAATTAGCGCTGCTGGGGTTCCCTAACCCTAACCCTAAGGATCGTAAAGGGTGCCTAACCCTAACCCTAAGGATCGTATAGGGTGCCAAACCCTAAACCCTTAGGATCGTAAAGGGTGGCATACCCTTACCCTAAACCCTAACCCTAAGGATCGTAAATGGAGCAGCGAGGGCTGAGCCCGGTAAACAATTGTAAAGTACATTCTAGCCCAGACTTCGAAATTCGGGAATAAACAAAATCAAAATACAGAAACGTACCTGTTACCGTAATGTTGGAGTCGGTGTTCCCGTTCATCTGGTTGCTAGTTGTATTGTGCATCGCGAATGATTTGTCGTTTCATATACAAGGCAGCCAGATGTATCTAATACAACAGTATGACAGTTCCAATCAAGGAAACGGCACAATCAAGAATTGTACAGAGACATATACCTGGCATACACATCTGTAGTTCCCATGCCAACAATGAACCCTTCAGCGTAGACATTGTAGGCTAGTTTCTAGGTGTCACTTTTTCCTCTGTGAAAGAAAAATATAATCCTTATAGAACATCTTATGTAAAAAACTTCATTGTATGAATACATTGTCCCCAGTGTAAAATTAGGTACTAGAGCAGAATTCGTCAATTGTGTATGTAGAGTATTGTCTGTAGTCCCATCACAGCTCTCGGCTAGGGTAATTGCCAGGCACTATCTTACTTCTGAACATGACCAGTGTCTCCCTAATAGTAAAGCCATTAAAATAGGTCTCCTGCTGTTTGCAAAGCCTGTTTGTAATAACAGGGAGCTATGAACTGGATCAGTGGTCAATTTTGTGATCTGGGTGATTGCCCTAACATCCCAGTATGTGGGATGGTACTCTTAATGTATCTTTCACTGTATTGTCTGTCCCCTACCCTAGACTTTGACTATTTACATGCTGTCATAATATTGTTGGAATCCTCTGTCTGAGGTTTTTGTTAATGCACTCTGGAAGTCTACACTACACGAATGTGCTAAGGTACCAGTATGATGCAATTTACAACGACTGATCCCAACTTCAGTGCCACACTAGGTTATGTTTTCTACTCCAATGAGGGTGAGGGTACTTCTGTGTATTACCAGAAGGGTACCTTGTGTATATTTCTGTAGTACCTTGTCAACAAGCACCTTAGTTAACTGACTGCCATGTAAAACAAGAAACAATCCAGCAAGTGATCTAACCAAGGAAGATGACCAATGAGACAGTTGTCAGCATCTGAATATTCTTGCTTTGGTGAGAATCATTGTTGATTTTACTTATATGAGGTTTATATGAGATTGAGGCTCTTTTATAGTATATGCAAACTGCATCATCAACCTTTACCCGATGGAGATTTAGTTATACATCTGTATTCAGAAACATTTTAATAGCTGTAACATGTGTACTGTTCAAAATGGATAAATCAGCCATAATCACACAACATAAACACAATGTATTTTCTATGAAATGTGAAAACTTTGGTGAGTCATGGCTGCTAGACTGGCCATATGGACTAAAGGTGCCAGGTTCAAATCCTGTCTTCGTGTGAGGTGACCTTCGTGTAACAAATTACCAATCACAGTTCAAATACTGGAAAAAAAATATTTGACTCACCTGCATACATGTCATGGTACACATGGTGACACATTACCTGATGTTTTGTTCTCGGATACCAACATCGCCTACCACTAGTACCAGCTCGATTGGACGAACAGGGTTCTGTGGGCATTCCCCCAGATACCGCTGATTCCCAAAGTCTTCTTGCAGCTTGCCACTCAGCCAGCTTGACTAATTGTGCTCCTTGCACCCCTTTGGTCAGCTCAAAGTTGGTTTCCAGTGATCATCAGGTTTCTGGCTCAGCCTCCTATACTATTACCCTTTCGACTGGACCTACTATCCCAGAACGGAGTGCCCCACCTGAATCCCAGGAATCAGTGGGTGGCTTGGCCACTGTCCGAAATCGCCTCCAGTCAAGCGGAATTCCTGCACCAGTTGCAGACACAATTCTGGCTTCGCGGAGGGATTCGACAAACGTTCAGTATGAGGATAGATGGACATACTATGAGCGCTGGTGTGTCGGCAGAGGTTACTCAACGGCTATTTCAGCGTTTCACATTCCTGTTGACAGTGCTCGCTTGGGGCAGCACCCTCTGGTACACTGCTTTTTAGCAGGCATGGACAGGATCCGTTGACTGTCAGTCGTTCTTGATTGGCTGTTCGGTCTTCTTTTTCACAATCTGTCAGCTCTTTCCCTTCAGCTGTTGACGTGGAAAGCAGCTTTTCTTGTGGTGGTAATGTCTGGCAGGCGGGTTGGCAACATTCATTGTGAGCATGGTGAATATCTCTTTTTAAATAATGAATATGAAAATATGTATAGTGTCAGTATGTTATCTTTAGTGTCAGTTTATTCCTCTTTCTTCAGATTGATCTGCTGGTCCAGACTCAATTATTTACAGACCGCCGCCATATAGCTGGAATATTGCTGAGTGCGGCATAAAACTAAACTCACTCACACCGATTAATCTGTTTGTGGTTATGGTTATGTTAAGTCCATGCTATTAGCATATTCAGCCTGTTTTTGAAGATTGTGTTGTATATTTCAGGTATGGGAAAAGGGAGACTACCGACGTGTGAGATTTCTTGACAAGGACAAGATGGTAAGAGCTGGGCCAGAATATAATGTTGTATGTTCCATATGCCACTCTCTTGCTGATGATAACACATTACAAGACGTTGAGCATGTTGACATACAAACTCTGGATCTACATGTTCAGCTATTGGTTGTCATTGGAACAGTACTATCAGGTCCATTGGTATGATAAACATGCTTACTGTTGTTCAAGGGCGATGGAGTAGCCCCGTGGTTAATGTGTTCGCTTGTCACGCTGAAGGCCCGGGTTCAATTCCCCACATGGATATAATGTGATAAGCCCATTTTTCATGTTCCCTTTGTGATATTGCTGGAATATTACTAAAAGCGGTGTAAAACCCAACTCACTTGCTGAAGAGAATATATATGGTAAGGAATATATGGTTGTAATATAGGATGAAACAAAGAAATCTTTCTTAAGTGGTAAAAACAATAGATCTAACTTCCATTCAATGCATTGCAACTGTCCATGTGATAATGATGATTATTCCTGTCATTTTGTGAGAGACATAGGCTTTGAACATATGGCAGTGTTAACATATGATTATCCCTTTTACTGTGTTTACCATGTTTTTCTGTAATAAGTATTGATAAATTCTGGAGTACATTTTGACAAAACAGTTGTGTGGTATACCTGTTGATGTATGTTTCCAGGTGAACAAGCAGTTTGCTGTGAACCTGATAGCCGACGACCCTGTAGTGGTGGTTGAGGCCCGCAATGTGTGGAGCGACAGTGGTGGAGCACTGGGACACCCCAAGGTCTACATCAATCTGGTCTGTATATCTGCTCATTACTTGTTCTCATATTAGAGATTCAAGGTTAGAATAGTTCCCAAGGAACCTATGTTTGTTGTGAGAGGTGACTAAATGGATGATGTTGTCATGTTAGGTGTCTTGGTTGATTTATGATAATATTGGTCACATGTTTGTTTGATCTTTATTACTTCCAGGCCAGTGGAATATATCTGGGTACAGTTTTGAAAACAAATAGTTGGAAAAATGTCATATATCACTGAGGTATGACAGGACATATCAGTCCTGTTGGTCTGACTTCTTTGACAGGTCCCTGGTATTGGCTTATAGTTATACTGTGTCCTGCCCTGACAAACAATGTACAGGTCATCATGATGTGGTTGGAATGTGATGTAAAACAATGTTTGCTCACATCCCCTTGCAGTGACGACCTGACTTGGGATCTAGGAAGTGCTGAGGCAATGTTTGTTATCTTTACTGTGTGGTATAGATGTGCATGGCTAGATTACAAGAAATGCTTCAGGCATCAGTCACCTTCAGCACCTATCAAAGCCTTTTGGCTGTGTTTGGCAATGAGTTTTGAGCAAGTTAGCCTTTCATCATGGTCTTGAGCAAGCAGACATTTCATCCATGAATATAACTTACTTAAAGTTATGTCACCTCATTTTTATATTGTTAGAGACACTTTTGGATTGGTTAATATTACACCATCCACTATATGATAACTGTTTATATTGTTACAGGATAAGAATGAATTTGGCGTTTGCGGTTACTCAGGAAGGAAGTTTATCCAGAAGAAATTTTATGATCCGGCAAAGCATGGGCCCAGTATAACATATGCTGAGTACCTGGCCGAGATGCGGCCCAAGCAGTGACTAGTGTGTGTGTGACTATAGGGAAGACTTCTTCCTGTATGTGAATATTGTGTGTAGATGAACACATTGATGTCCTCTCCTTGGGTGGAGCAAATAAAACAAGTGTTAAGGACCACAAGTTTTTTTTTTATCTTTGCTGGAGCAGTCAGCGCAACACATTATTTACCAGATTCATTAGCATGATTTTGCATCAAAATACTGTCTTCAGTTTAGGATATTTTGGGTTTTAACTGATCCAAGATATCCAGTATATATTGCATCCAATACCAATGCAATTGAGAATGGTGAGTGAGTGAGTTGGTTTTACACAGCTTTTAGCAATATTCCAGCAATATCATGGCAGGGGACACCAGAAATGGTCACTTGAGAATGGACCAAGCTGACATTTCTATTCTGGTTTAAAATATACTCAAAGTTCAGGGCGACATTGCTTCTTCAATCTGCCATTGAAATGTCTCCTTTCTGGTAGGCTAAAGGCTTCTTTGGTGTGCAGTGACATCAGGTGAAGCTTGTGACAAGTCACTACCCTGGTACGTCCTGGACTCTGGAACATCCCCTGTATGCATGGTGTCCTGGGATGGTAACAGACCTCACAAGAAGATGCTACAGACTGTGGCTGAAGACTACACTTGAGTTAGAATGACATGTGACATGGGTGTCCTGTCATGGGATGATAGGTCCAGGTCCGTGTCAGAAATAACCAACAGATACTTTACTTCCCATCAAAAGTTTAAGACTCACTAGTGTAAATATTGCCACTTACTTCAGGCAACTGTTCAAAACTAAATTTTGCAAAATGTTCCATACTGTTTAAAGGTACTGTTTACACATGAACTGGTGTCTTGTAAAACATGTTCGTAACGTTGAAAAGATTATTGTCATGAGTTCAATACTCAAATCAGTGAAAAATGCTGAATTCTTAACAAAACTTTACACCAAAACGCAGCTGTTCACATGGCACAATATTTGCACATGGTTTTCAGCAATTTGATGCATGATCCTGGTGCAGTTCATCTGCATAAGGTTTGCAGTTGGTTACCCCAGGTTAGTGGAGAAATCAATCTTCGATGTAACCATAACATATGGTGAGTGTTGTAAGTGAGTCTAAACTTTTGATGGGAAGTATATATTTAATGGTAGAAGTTGTAATGATCAACTTTCTGATCGGTTTATGTTATGAACAATGCCTACACTTGTGCTTCAGGTAGGTTGCTGTTAGTACGTTGCTGCTGTTGTTGTTAATAATTATAGGTATCTTGGGGTTGTTTTCACACCAACTTTGTCAAAGGCACAAAGCTGTTTAGCCGCCCAGGCTAACAAGGCAATGATGTCATTATATAATTATCAAAGAAAGCATGGTTTTGTCTCTTGTACTGATGCCTTCAAGATATTTGATACAATGATTTTTCCAATTATTTCACAGTATTGTAAAACCATTGAAAGAGTACATACTAGCTTCTGCAAGAGAATATTACGGTTACATAAGAACCCACGTGATGTTATGGCACTTGGTGAATGTGGTAAAGTACCACTTCAGTATAACTATATGTTAATACTAATAAAATATTGGTGTAGAATAATTCATTTAGATTATAATCGTTTACCTTAACAGTCTTCCTTAATGCTTAAATACCTTGATGATGTGGGTAGAACTACATGGGCCTCTCATGTGAGAAATATTTTATTTCAATACGGTTTCGGAATTGTGTGGATAGGTCAAGATATTGGCAATGTGAAAATGTTTATTTCAGCCTTAAACAGCGATTATTTGACTCCTTGAGTCAGGAATGGCACTGTATTACTTCACATTTGAGCAAGTGTCAAACTTATTGTCAATTTAAAACAATGTTACCAGTTGAGTCTTATCTTTCAATTGACTGTAAATTCAGGTGTAATAAGTTCAGGCTAGCTATTGAAACAGGAAGGCATTGCAATTTAATTGCTAGTGAAAGATTTTGCTTATATTGTCATTGTAAAAAAATATTTCTTGTAGAAGATGAATTTCATGCCTTAATGATCTGTCAGCGTTATGAAGCGTTAAGAGAATGTGATCATAATAGTGTAAGAAATAGCCCTTCTATGGACAATTTTGTTTGCATTATGTCAAGTACTGATATCAATGTAACACTAAGTTTGGCAAGGTTTTTATATAAAGTCTTTAGGATAAGAAATACAACAAATTATGATTAGATCTTCAGTATTTATGCTGAAATATTGTTTGATAGTTTAGTGTAGCATCTCTATTGTTATTTTACGAGAGCTTCGTTGTTTCGGCTGGTAACAAGATATCTGTAACAAGACCAGCATGAATACACTTGTGAAAATTGTTTTGTAATCTGGGCCATGGCCTTGAATACTTGAAATAAATTGTCTATCTGTCTGTTAGTGTGGGTTCGAATCGCGGATGGGACACAACCTAATAAAAGAAATAGAATCTTTACTTTACTGAGAAAGTGTAATCCCAAATAGGACATGTACATTTGATTCATCAATATCACTGTCGGACAGTCTAGTATTCCGGCTGCACCTGTATGTACGGCCGTGAGTAGGATAATCATGCTTGCTGGACTAGTCCCATCATAGTAAGGTTATAATCACTGCTCGACTTATTTCCGAATGCAATTTGTTAATTGTATAACCAACTTAAGATATTTTGACTCGAGGTATTCCTTTGTCGTGGTCAACGTAAAAGAGTTAGCTAGTTCCCCCGTTGACATATTCGCTGACAGTGGTTCAATGAAGTTTAGTCCTGTAATGCGCGCTAATATTCATTTAACATTAAAAGACCAATTTCTAAATAATGTTTGACGAAAAGTAATCGTGCTGTCCATGGCTGAGCCTTGCAGCTGTTTTATAGGTCAAAATCAAAATCACTGATTGAAAACAAAAACGATTTTTGTTTGAAAGTTTTATGATTGGTTCCCTGAAATGTATGGCCTCTGATGTTCGCGTGACTTTCTCAACTTCGTTCCCGTCTTTAGGTGTATTGAGTTGTGAGAATAAAAATATACTGAAAAGAAGGCTACTTATCGTCACACTAGAAACACATTGTGTGGTGATATGTAGACAAGAGATGGATGTAACAAACGCTCAACCGTATTGCCCATTTTGAAGAAGGTATTTAATAAACCCCGATCATGTGTACGAGGTCAGGCTGCTATTGTTTAGCACATGTTGATGGTGATTGTTTTCAATACTTAATTATTGTTGGCTGATATATGCATGCTTCCAGATACAGCAATGGTCATGGTGGAGTCTACTGATGCCTACAGGGAATAACGCCTACAGTCTTAAAAAACAATTTTACGCACCTGTGGTTACAAATTGGTCCTGCCTCTACCCTTTCACTAAAGTGGTAGGTCCCACTTCATTGTGCGCTAATGCCTACAGAGAATACAAAACAGACTGTTAAATGACATTTTATCAGATTTAATCATATCATCATTAATTTAAAGTTCTTCACACAAAATTACATTACATTACATATTATTGAGTTATTAATTGAGATTACATTACAATATAAATCATATTATTGAAATACTAATTGAGATGACATTACATTACATTACATGGCCATAGTTGATTTTCAACCAATGATTTCTTCATTAGCACAATTGCAATACACACACGTTCATCATCAACTTCACAGAGAGGGACTAGCGGGTTTCCATATAAGCTGAATGATGTGGTGGCCCCGTACTTCTGGCCTACCTCCGACAGAGGAAGGGTCCTTCCTACGGCATTGCCTAATATCACGTACATGTGGGTACCCCGACAAACCGGACCTAATCTTGTGACGTATCCGTGGAGCAAACGTGGAAATCAGTTAATGAAATGTGTTGTAAAAAAGCACAAACCTTTCTGCACTTCAGGTTGAACACATCCGTTCAGATAATAGGTAACTGCGACTGAACGATGATGTTGATTCTAATGTTTGGAAACTTGCTAAATTAACGTTCTCATATTTAGCTCACCTACAATCTTGACTTTCAATTTCCCGGCGAGATACCGCAATGAAATGTGTTCGTTAATTACGTATCTTCGTGGACGGGTGTTGGTTGAAGACCTTTTTGTGCAAGCTGATGATCAATATTTCTGAAAACATATTATCTTTGAATGACATTTAGAAGTGATACACATATATGGGGTAACATTTGTGGATGTCAGCTATTATAAGGAAACTCCCCTGTATATTCATGCATCTGATGAAAGAATAATAATATACTCTGATAAGTCGTCTTCCTCGTAAAACTGAAGTTGACATCCATGAATTCTCCGAAACCCTTTAATGTTTCTTAAGTTTGTGCATTAATTGTCACCACGAAACTATACTGAAAGCCTTTAAAAACGCAATTGGTATTTATTGTCCTGAAACTTACAAAAGTTCTATTGAAGATTTTTTCCTGCGATACAGAGGATGTAGGGATAAAAGGCTGTTATTCTGGCCCATTTCGAGTTCGAGTCCCGGAGCATTCCTCTCACATGAACTTTGATACTTAAAACTGAACCTTTGACATTTCTCGTAAACACAACCACATTCATGAAACACGTTGTGCACATGCATTACCTGCACCCAGGCCCTGTAAAAGCACAAGGAATTGTGCAACTCAATCACTTTGAGAAAATGCCACGCTTGACACAAGACGAAAGGAATCAGGTTATCGGTATGGTCAGCCAAGGTGCTTTAGATGTGATGATTGCCAGGCACTTTAATGTGCATCCATCCACTGTAGGTCGACTCAGGCAACGTTTTCGGGCTACCGGAAGTGTTGCTGATCGTCCGCGACCTGGTGCAACACCTGTGATAACAGCTCGACAAAACCTTAATGTCCGAGTTTCACACTTGCGAAATCGGTTCCAAACAGCTGATGATTAGGCAAGGAGGACAACTGGGACAAGTCAACGTCATTTCAGCGCCCAAAAGGTGCAAGGACGCCTTGCTGCCTTCAACATCCGGTGTCGTCACCCGTACCGTGGTCCAACCTCATTGCATCGCCACAGACTTGCCAGACAGCGATGGGGCCGCAAATGGGGCCAATCTTGTCACCAGGACATGGCCAGAGGTCATTTTTTCAGGTGAATCCAGGTTTAACTTATCCTTTGCAGATGGACGTCAACAGATTTATCGACGTAAATGAGAAAGACTTGCGCCAAACTGTGTCCTTGAACATGATCGTTTTGGAGGGGTGGTGTCATGATCAGACCACAGACCATCAGAGGCTGCAGACCATCCAACAGCTGTTCCTGAGAAATGTGTGTCTTTCAATGCCCCAAAGACTGCGAGCATGTCTTGCAGCGCGCGGTTGACACACACAATATTGACTGCAAGTGACCCCTCCCTTGTGTGATGTCGTTGTTGCGTCACTGATGTTGTTGTTGACTGGACATTTTCAGATGAAATTATTCACAGATGTTCACTTAAAACATATCTGCCAGTTAGGTTTATATATGTTGAAAAAAGTGTGAGTAAAGAAAGTATGAATGTCAAATTGCATATTTAATGGCTTTCAGTATATATACTCAGTTGACTAAATCTGTATTGATATACCTCTATGTCATCAAGTAATTTACACCCGTGAAGATCCGAGTTAGAATTGATCTTCAGTAACCCATGTTTGTCGTAAAAGGCGGTGGTCAGGCTCGCTGACTTTGTTCACACGTGTCATCGTATCCCAATTGCATAGATCGATGCTCATGATGTGGATCACTGGATTGTCTGGTCCAGGCTCGAAAAAATTCAGACCGCCGCCGTATAGCTGGAATATTGCTGACTGCGGTGTAAAACTAAACTCACTCACTCAAGTACTTTACACAACAAAGTTTGGAGCATCAGGACAATCGCCCTCAATACAATGTATTATACTCTACTGAGATAACATGTTTTTACCATTTTTGTTTTCTCGTGATCTGAGAAATAAAAACCTTGTTACTTTCTTTACTGTTTTAATTATGACGGTATTTTAATATTACTGGTTATATTACCCTAAACTGTTCAAGGACAACTGTCCATGTGTCTGCCCTGAAACTACGCCAACTGTTGACACAAGACAGCAAATAGTGTCGAAACTCATCGAAGCGGCATGTCAATCACGCTAACATTCTCGCTTCCCCGGCACATCACTAAATCTTGTCAATAACGATCTATATAATGCAGGCGAATGATGAAACAGGCATCGGATAAGAACATGAAATGATATGATATATGCATATGACAAAGATCAAAAGATATAATGACACACACACGGTGTATAGGACCAATACATCAATGTGCACGGTCGTGGCGTGATTATATATGATGCTGCCGCTTGTCATTCCGGATACACACTAATATGTACATGGCTCCATGTGTGCATCTTGTGTCCGCTTTTATGGTCGATGACCAGCTGTTGGAACTGCACCTCTAATCTCGGGTCAACCGTCCCTGTGCATGCTGTCGTATCAGAGGAAAGTACAGCAGAATACACGGAAACAAAGCGTACTTGATTCATAGCTTATCAACATGTTGACTAATAGACATAGTAGGTAGTACATAACCTTGCTTTACTCATGGACACTCTTTGTGTGTTTTTTACCTGGTGGATTGTTTCATTTTTCAGTTGATAAATGTTTTGTGAAGTTTGTTTACAGATGGGCAATCAATGTAAACATGAAACTTGTCACCGGTTTTGGAATTGTACAGCGCACCTACACACTGGTGGGAGGTACTTACTGATCGATTCACAACTCTGAAAGTCACAGAACTACGCTTGGATAATGTCTGTGATAATGTTTCACAATATTGTACTAGGGTTTTATGTCCGCTGTTAAAGGGGACACAATCTGAAACGGGGATATACAGTAGTTGACACATAGCGGATGTGTGAGATGTAATGTTATGTGTTTTAATCATGAAATGGTTACTACTCTCTGTGTATTCACTCTAATGTAATCATGTCCACAATGTGTTGTGTCGAACCTTCTAGCTGGAACTCCTCTTCAACTCGTGTTGTTTTAGCTGTGACTATGAATGCAGTGGGTGTCTTGTGGTAAAAAAATAAATTATAGTCTTTATTTCTTCTTCTTCCTCTTCCTCCTTCTTGTTCGAAACACACATATACATGTATATGCATAAGCCTGTATTTCTTGTACACGGATGACGATGTATTTCTCCACTGCGCCTAACTGTGGGTAAACATCATTGTTACTACCCACTGGTGCATAACAAAGGAGAAATAACAATATGAATGTTTCTGTTTGTCGGGCATCAGACCCAGCACAATGTAATGACGTCACATCTATTCCAGTCGACAGACAACAAGTTGGACAATATTAAGGTGTGTGTAACTTTATTACACTAGCTTGTTACAAGTGAATGGCTGACAGGCAGTCGACAGCATCGTAACGTTTAACCTTAACATAGAATATTATACAGTACAACCAGAAATTATTGACAATTTAAAGATTGTAATTTTTTTTTTTTTTCACTCATTACTCACGTATTAAATGTGAATATTAGCAGAACATAACTCCAGATTCAAAGACAGGTGAACAGTTAGTATTTTGTCAAGTCACCATGGGCAGCAATGCAGGCTTCAATGCCGCGGGGCATACTACCGATCAAAGAAGTTAGAAAGTCGTGGTCCATGCTGTCCCAATATCGGACCACCTCTTCTTTCATTTCAGCAATATTTGTCAGATTTTTCTCATTGACACTTTCCTTCATAGGTCCCCAAACATTTTCTATTGGATTTAGGTCAGGGCTATAGCTTGGCCAATCTAATAATGTCATATTTTGGGTCCGAAACCAGGCCAGTGAATGCTTTGAACGATGTTTTGGGTCGTTGTCGCTGTAAAATCCCACAAATTTCCATAGAACACGAGCAGAGCAGAGGGAAGTAAATGTCCCTCGAGAATATCTGTGTACCGCTCACTGTTCATATTCCCTTCAAATACACAGAGGGGCGTTGCCCCTAACACAGATATGCCACCCCACACGTTAAATTTCGGACTGTACTTTGGGCGCTGATACAAAGCTTTTCAGTTTGTTTGGTCCAGAATTTCAGTGTATTAGGAAACAGCCACACAGAACTTTCATCTGAGAAAATCACATTGTCCCAGTTAAAATTTCTATGCTGTAAGCACCAGTTCAACCTTCGCTCCTTTTGTTCAGGTTTCATGATCGGTGATAGAATTCCTCGACTTTTCTGCCAACCCATTGCATGCAGCTTAGTTCTAATTGTCTCCTTACAGACAGCCACAGTTCATCTATCAATCAAATTCAGCCTTAAGTTTTCTAAACTCCTTCGTTTGCTTTTAGAAACAAGAATACCAAGCCGCCTCCTGTCACCGACAGTCAATTTTCTGGGCCTACCTGCGCCTCCCTGGTGCTCAATGCCATATCCATTTGCAATATTTTTCAATGCACGATAAACAGTGGACAAAGGGATGCCTGTTCTACTTGAAATCACTTTAGCTGATCTGATGTCCTTGTTACAATACTCTAAAATCAACTTCCTCTTCTCTAAATCATCCATACTGAGGATCATTGAAAATTTCGTCTGCTAGCAAGTAAACAAAGGGGGATAACTCTTCACAAACTAATGAAAAAGGATTAACGGAGTTGTCTCTCTTGAATGAAATCAAGCACTTGATAGCTGGTCAAGGTTGTTTATACTAGAAATCCAATTAAACATCTTCCAAAAATTCTCAATAATTTCTAGTCATACTATATGATGCACTGGCGTTAAACGCATAGGATTCTCTCTAGATATGTGTCTGCCTGTCAGCTAGTCTGTCTGTCTGTCTGTCTGTCTGCAATCTGTCTCTCTCTCTCTCTCCCACTCTCTCATTCCGCCTCTTTCCCTAACCCCACCCCCACCCCACCCCTGTCTCTCTCTCTCTCCGTGCAGTATCAAATATTTCCCAATGGTGTAGTCCACACTCCCTGTTGCCGGAGTGCAGTTGTTGACGTGCATGTCCACGTTCTACTCTGTTATTGACTCTCCTACTATTGGCTTCAGGACATCAGCGACAGGAGTGTATCGTGAACCCTGTATCTGTACTTTACATTGGCATGTCCCCCACCCTGCTGTGCAGTCAAGCTTGGTAGCATTCATCAAACACTTGCACAATCCCCCATTACCACGAAAACAAACAAGGTTACCAAACTGTCTTCACATAGGCCAGCACGTAGGTACTAACGGCCTTTCCAATTCCGTACATGCAGGGGCAACCATTGGTATTAACCGTAGTACTAACTGCTTCGCGAGGCCCATCAACCGCGTTTGAATAACTGTAAACAACCTTCACACCCCACCGCAGCTAATGGACTGGTCTTAAACCTAAACACAAGGCTCAGCTCTGTAGTCCCATTCATGAACGCGGTGATCACATTCTACAGTTGTCGAGAGTTGGGGGAACGGATATAAATAGAACCCCACACTTACTTAAGACCCATTTCTCAATAGTATACAAACATTTTGTTGAGAGCTGCGGTTGTGCCCGGTGCGTCCCAATGGAGAACCACACACTACTCGGACTGACGACTGCAGCCTTTGGACTGCTCGTATACCTTGTTCAACCTGAGCCGCTACGATCTATGGTGTTAACGAACGAAATCACTTCAATTGTTTTCTATGTTGCTATTGTGGCACTAACTCTTGCATTCATGAGGAAGGCTCCCGAGGAACATGTAGGCAGCAATGGAAAGGCAGTGTTCATCACAGGTGAGTGGGTTCAACTCTGTGTATGCACGACTTTTTAACCAGGTGTATCAACTATCGAATAGACATTTCTGTGTAACTCGACGTAGCTTCAGATGACATTCTAGAACTCGGCTTTTGCGGTTGTGGTCTAGCGGTTTCTTTCACTGAGAGGTGAATGCTGTCATGATATATACTGAAGCAAGCCTGTCGCCTAAGGGTTTGCTTTATCAGCCATCTGTTACATTCTGTGATCATTTAAGCGGTTTTGTTTATATCTATGCCATAAATAAGTATTTACGTTAATAATTAAATTGACATACGTAATGCTTAACACCGTTATATGATCAGTTGTCATCACCATATATGATAATTATTTACTATATAACGTTGCGTTGTTTATAACAGATTCATCTATACCATGCATCATGTATCTTCTTTCTTCTCCTTAAACAGAAATTATATATATTTCATCAAAAAATATGCGAAATAATAGTACATTACAATCAATTATTGACTTCTCATTTTCTCGTTTACTAGGCATTTATTGCACTGCATGACACATGTCAAACATCACCTGTCATGTGAAATATATCACAACCTGGCATCTAGGAAGTTGGACCCTACACATAACACATGTGTAACACCTCGTTTATAACACGGTGTTCGTTTCAACATAGGCTATCAATAAACGTGGACTTTTGACCCAAATCAGCCACGGCAGATATACCTTGAACGACATCGCCAAACCACAAACTAGCAAGTATATTGCAAATTAGGTCCAAATGATTAAGTGTTAATCTGTATTACCCTGGGGCGTCTCAGGACTAGGGCCACGGTCATTAGACCGATGTATTTAGAAGTAATTGACACACGTGTTACGACATTCTGCCTGTTATCGGTGGTATCGCCAGCAGATGGGCTCCAGCCGAGTGGCTGGGGGAAGTAGGTTAGTCGGGGTACGGGTGTGTCAACATTTGCCGTTGACCCAAAAAGAATGGGTAAACATTTACAAGCTTTTGTACAAGTAGGCAATGCAATTTGTGTACAGTTATCAGCGTCAGATTATATAAAAATACTTAAGTATAGTCACCTGAATTGAAATGTCAAGATCTCATGTATCCTTCAACACAAATACGTCCCCATTACACCCCACACAAATATATTCCCACAACAGAAAGGTTTCCCAATACAACACAACAGCAATTCCTCATAGTACACAACAGAAATATTACCCTTGATTTAGGTTAAGGAGTAGTTACCACGACTAGTGCCCCTCTGTTGTAAGTGATAGCTGACGTGTCAGTGTGCAGTGTAATACGCGGTCAACCCAAAACTTGATTGTATTATAGCAAGTCTTAGAGGAATGTGTATTAACCACTTAGCGGTTGGATTTAGCGCTATATAAATTTCCATTATTATTATTATAATTATTATTATTGTTGTTTTATGCCGCCACCAACATTATTCTAGATGTATAACAAGGAGTCTGTCGATATTTGGCTCAGGTGTTCCTTGGTGTCTGAGTACCATAACATACCAGCGCCCATACTACCAGGTCTCCACTTAGACGGCTGTAACGATAAGCAAGGAGTACTGGGGTACTTATCCCAGCCGGTACCCCACGGGGACTCAAACATGCGGTACCGAGGATCATCGAGATTTCAAGTCTTTTGGAAACAAAACAGCGTTGTACGGTTCTATTTTCATTTGATGAGATTGTTTCCCCAGGTTTCCCAGGTAGATTCCACGTCTCTGGTAGCTGTCTGGGACATGCATCACTTTCCTCCCACATCAAGCTGCGACCTCGCGATATAACTGGAATACTGGTCAAAGCGGCGTTAAATTAAATTCACCCACTCATTTGATGAGAGCGTTCCACTAACTTGAGGGTAGCATCTGATACTACGCATACCCCTGTCTTAATTACCGGTCCAGGATCACCAGCGCATATCCCGTGTAGAGGAGTCTGGCCCAAATGGTATTTCACCAAGCACGTTTATTTATGTTTATGTAAATTTTCTTTGTTAAGATATACCTCAGCTCGATATAGAACTGTCGGACATTTTGTCGTACATTAGGCACACTTCGTTTACGTGGCGTAATTGTTGTCCAGGTTTTTTCTCCCTCTGCTGATTATGTCTCCCGCTGTGTTGTCGGTAGACTGCATACCCGACTGGATGAAGTACAATATAGTCAGTGCACGCGGGTTCCTACAACGGGCAGTGTTATGCGGGAAGCACCTTCGCAACGCTGGTAAAACACGCCTTCAGAGGAACACGCTTGGGTATCCAGGGACGGATACAGCTTTTTGAGAAAGGGGTGGGTGGGTGTGTGTGTGTGCCTCTCCCCCTTTTCCAACCATCGCTATTCACCATACAACCAGCATATCATCATACATCGCTATTCCATACAACCAGCATATCGTCATACATCGCTATTCCCCATACAACCAGCATATTGTCATACATCGCCATTCCCAAAACAACCAGCATATCGTCATGATTCGCTATTCCCCATACAACCAGCATATCGCCATACATCGCCATTCCCCAAACAACCAGCATATCGTCATGCATCGCTATTCCCCATACAACCAGCATATCGCCATACATCGCCATTCCCCAAACAACCAGCATATTGTCATACATCGCCATTCCCCAAACAACCAGCATATCGTCATAAATCGCTATTCCATACAACCAGCATATCGTCATGCATCGCCATTCCCCAGACAACCAGCATATCGTCATACATCGCTATTCCATACAACCGGCATATCGTCATACATCGCTATTCCCCATACAACGAGCATATTGTCATACATCGCTATTCCATACAACCAGCATATCGTCATAAATCGCTATTCCATACAACCAGCATATCGTCATGCATCGCCATTCCCCATACAACCAGCATATCGTCATACATCGCTATTCCATACAACCAGCATATCGTCATACATCGCTATTCCCCATACAACCAGCATGTCGTCATGCATCGCTATTCCATACAACCAGCATGTCATCATGCATCGCTATTCCATACAACCAGCATGTCTTCATCATCGCTATCGCTATTCGCCATACAACCAGCATGTCGTCATGCATCGCTATTCCATACAACCAGCATGTCGTCATACATCGCTATTCCATACAACCAGCATGTCGTCATGCATCGCTATTCCATACAACCAGCATGTCATCATGCATCGCTATTCCATACAACCAGCATATCTTTATGCATCGCTATTCCATACAACCAGCATATCGTCATACATCGCTATTCGCCATACAACCAGCATGTCGTCATGCATCCCTGTTCCATACAACCAGCATGTCGTCATGCATCGCTATTCCATACAACCAGCATGTCATCATGCATCGCTATTCCATACAACCAGCGTATCTTTATGCATCGCTATTCCATACAACCAGCATGTCTTCATACATCGCTATTCCATACAACCAGCATGTCGTCATGCATCACTATTCCATACAACCAGCATGTCGTCATACATCGCTATTCCATACAACCAGCATGTCTTCATACATCGCTATTCCATACAACCAGCATATCGTCATACATTGCTATTCCAAATACAACCAGCATATCGTCATACATCGCTATTCCCCATACAACCAGCATGTCGTCATGCATCGCTATTCCATACAACCAGCATATCGTCATACATTGGCCTGTTCCACCTACAAGAAAGACACTGCATGTTGAGTAGACGACACAAGTGTTCCATAAGAGTTTTTCCTATCAATTTTAAAACACCACATGCACTTTAAATGTGCTGTTCCGGTATACTGCGATAGGTCCTGTGCATCGATTCCTTTGCGGTTTAAATCCCTAAAAGTTAACGGAAATGTGTTCGAAAGAAGTAAACACTACAGCACTACCGATACACAACTACCGTGGTGCCTCTGGCATATTCTTCAATCGGCGGGTGGGGTGGGGGTTGTTTGAGTTAATAGAGAGCTCTTTGATTCTGTGCATGAATACACTGTAGACGCCAGTCCCAGTTCCCGCCACAACTTCCTGGTCTATGTGTTCATAACACAATCAGATCTACCTTGGGATATCTCTACATGTAATGCACGTGTAAACAGTGGAGTCGTTCCCACGACATTTACCAGAAGCTTAAGCCAAGATGGTACGCCGGTGACTAGAGTTTCATTTGATGTTAACTCGGGGCGGGCCCCCTCGCTAGATTGGCCTATGCTTTAGGCAGTATGTTATTGTAGTTGTGCTATGTATACAGACATTACAAGAGGGTATCCCGACACACTGTGACGGCGATGTGTCAACGAGAACACTGACACAAGCCAAATACTCCTCTGCACTTGAGTGGCTGAGGATCCAAGTAGAGAAGCTATGGCCCACACGGTGTCTCGACCAAACAGCATCAGCCATATGTTGCAGTATCACACCGACTGTATGTGTATACTCTAGTTCATGCATTCATTCACTTAAACACTACAGTTGGGTATCGCAGCTCCGGGATTACTGGAGTGTTCGGTAGAGACAGTGTTTCGTTACAGCTGGACCTTCTTTATGTCTCCACTACGTCGTGAGGATATAGTTACACGTCATACTGTATGATGATATAGGGACGTTCAATACTGTATGATGATATAGGGACGTTCAATACTGTATGATGATATAGGGACGTTCAATACTGTATGATGATATAGGGACATTCAATACTGTATGATGATATAGGGACATTCAATACTGTATGATGATATAGGGACATTCAATACTGTATAAGAATATAGGGACATTCAATACTGTATAAGAATATAGGGACATTCAATACTGTATGATGATATAGGGACATTCAATACTATATAAGGCTATAGGGACATTCAATACTGTATGATGATATAGGGACATTCAATACTGTATGATGATATAGGGACGTTCAATACTGTATGATGATATAGGGACATTCAATACTGTATGATGATATAGGGACATTCAATACTGTATGATGATATAGGGACATTCAATAC